TTAGCGCAAGCTATTAGAATAGCCCCACAGAGCGAAAATGGTTTTTGTGGGAGCAAAATAACCAAACGTTTTATTTTTTAGGCTGAGTGTCGGTAAGTTGACGGATTTAGAAACGAAAACGATTAAAGGCTTTTCTTAAGCGTCACATAAATTAAGCGTCTGTTTTAGCGGGCGGCCTTTAATACGCTTAAATGAAACGGCTTTCTAATGTCGGCTGTTGCGTGTAGTATTTCATATCTGTGTAATGTCAATTTTACAGGCCACCGTCACCGTCGTTTTTATGTTTATGAGTGGAAATGGTGCGCAGACTCACTAAAGAGACTGACATCCTGCTGGCATTACACCAGGGTTGCATCAGAATCCAGTTGTGCACGTCCCCAGAAACCACAGAGTGAGACATCTCGATTCATTCCATGTCACTCCGGGTTTTGTCCCGTCGTACAGCTGTGGAGACACTTGTCTTGCTGACAGTAGGGTTGGTTGCTACACTTTTTGTTCTGCATGAATTGCTGATCAAGCAGTGGTAATTATTGTGAATTAAGAGAAGTAAAATTAAGGAATTGACACAAAACGACTTCCACACTCCATAAAAATATCAATGATAACATTTATATATATATATATTTTTTAAATGAAAGCAGTTGTCTGTATCTTTTAAAAGACAAAAACAGTCTGTGCAAGATTTCCCACAAGGTAACCTGCACAGTAGTGAGCAAGGCAGCGTAAACACAAGAACCACAGTGAATGACATCAATATCAAACCGACTCTAAACCTTTTTAAGTCTCCACGTGTGCTCGATCATCCAGGTAAGCAAATTTTCAGGGATCTCCATTTTAAGGTTGCTAGTCTTGATCTAGACTCTCTCCCTGAATTGCCAGGGGTAATCACAACACGTAATCAGTTCTGGCACACAATACATCAACATCATACTTCATTTGGTGTATGGCTCAACACAAACCATTGTTCCAACAAAGAAACAAAAAAGAAAGAAAGAAAAACAAAAACATTTCTCTCAACGTTTTAACCTTTAGCTGGCTAGTGAAAAACTGATTTAAATCAAAGCTTTTTAACAAGTGACCATTTTATAAAAGACTAATATTGTCTCATCTTTTAATACAATAACATCAAAACCAAGAAAACTTACTCTGACCCATGAAAACTACAAACTGTATGATATCAATAGAATTCCACAGTGGCCTCTAAAGTGGCAACACCCAGCAATGTGACAACCAGCCCCGGTTTCCCCACATCTACCCTGCAAAGGAACTTCCACCCAAATCTAATGTAACTGGCATCCTTAAAATGGATACAAGACTCAGAGTCCACAAGCACAGACACGTCCCTCAGCTTGAAATTTGAGTGCTGATATTTGGACTTTGGATTAATCGCATGCATGCAGGTTTAGAGACCGAAAGATTAACAGAAGCTAGCCACTTCACAGAAAACGTAAGGAAGACCATTTATAGAAAAGAATCTTTGGTTTCTCCAATGTCACACATTTTTCTATTTAAAGCAGATTACACAACTTCCTTCTTATACTGAAGAGAAACATGTTCTTCTGAAGTTGTGTGATGCCATTACTACTAAGGGGATCTGAAACTTCAGAGAGGGAAATAAACCGTTTACGTCCAGCAGCAGACACATGGCGCTCTTTGAGCCCGCTATACCTCGGTTTTGATTTCTGTTAGATCAGCGACCCTAATCAGTGAAACTTGATCTGCCTTTACTCGCTTTGCTTTTGAATCTTTGCTGGTATTGCCTAAGTTTTGACACTGTCTCGACACCCTTGAAAAAATAATTTGCAGAAGTGGATCTGAGAAACCGTTTGCTACGAAATTCAAAATTGTGAAATTCCGATCACAAAATATTATGTGCTGGTAATACTCGTACAGACGAATGAGGTGCATGTTGGTTACAGTATAATGACAAAATGACAGAAGGGGAAAATAACTATATAAAGAACACAATAGTATATTAAGGAAATTTGTTGCTGTTGTTCAAAAATATTTGGAAATCCATTTAAAAATATAGTTATTCGGAGAAAAAGTGGACACTAAGGCACAGTTAGACATTTTTCGAGATTATTGAATAGGAAAAAAAACATGTTTTACTCATGCTCACTGATTTGTGTGCAGTTACATCTGCACATGACATACATTTCAAACATACTCAGAGTTCCTCGAACTTCTCTGATTAGCTGTTCTGGAACTGAAATTGCAATCTCAGAGGTAATAAACTCAGAGTTTATTTTTAAAGTCGAAGTTTTGTTGAACCTCCCTCCTGGAACAGGGCCCAGGAAGAGTGCAGCAAACTGCCAGGAAGCATACTTTAAAGAATAAAAGACAGACAGCATCAAATGGCTTGTTTGGTCCAATCTTGTGAAACAGTCGAGGACAGAAACATAAACAGTTAGTTCTCTATATCTATTATCCGTCTATATTTCACACAATGTTAAGTATGCATTATTTAGTATACAGTCTTCTTAAAATTAACACGATGAGAAACATATGGAGAAAATATACTTTTTCATATTTTTTTGCTGAGACTTAGAGGAGAAATTTGATGTCTGTATTTTTCACATGAAACTGGAGTCCAAGTTCAAGTAGCTTTTCTGGAAGTCCCGCACATGAACACAAACAAACTGTCAATTCAACATGAGAAAGACTCAATACTTCATGAGAAATGTGTAAAAAAAGAAAAACAATCTAACACACGACACATAAAAAAATCTTGGCCTCCTGCTCACTGAAATGTGTGCAGTTACCTCTGCCAACAAATTCATGCATTCTCATAAACGTAGAAAATAAACAGGTTTGCAGAAGCCGCCATGTTGCCACGCCATCTAGAAACAGTGGCTGTGGAGAACGTTGTGCCCCTGTCAGGTGTTTGTCCGCGTGGCCAGAGAGACCGGCCACATACGTACAGCAAAGATGAGCAAAAGCAGAACTTGTAGCTGTTCGCGTATTGTGGAGGCAAATTTGAATTTGGCCTGGATTCTGGCTTTATCTAATGAAAATTAAAGCTGAGTAAATAACAGCAAACATTCTGGAAAATGATATGTTGCATATTCAAATTTTTGTACTGTCAGTGATGATAAGCTCATTACAATCTCTCTTCTCCCCTCTTGTTTTTTTAAGATAAATGCCACAGTCTGCGCTGTGTTCACATTCCTCGGTCCACAGGATTAAAACGGAGGCGTTGCTGTTTATTTACCCACGGGCAATCCTGATAATGGAGCTCCATTGATGATGGTTTTTCTTTCCCTACTTAATAAACATCCTGAACACGCACATGAAAGAGTAAATATACTCAGAGTTCATCGAACTTCTCTGATCAACTGTTCTGGATCTGAAAACTGTAGGGGGAAAAAAATTGCGATTTCAAAGGCAATCAACTCAGAGTTTATTTTTAAAGTCGAAGTTTTGTTGAACCTCCCTCCTGGAACAGGGCCCAGGAAGAGTGCAGCAAGCTGCCAGGAAGCATACTTTAAAGAATAAAAGACAGACAGCATCAAATGGCTTGTTTGGTCCAATCTTGTGAAACAGTCGAGGACAGAAACATAAACAGTTAGTTCTCTATATCTATTATCCGTCTATATTTTCACACAATATTAAGTTTGCATTATTTATTATACAGTCTTCTTAAAATTAACACGATGATAAACATATGGAGAAAATACTTACTCACTTTTTTTGCTGAGACTTAGAGCAAAAAAAAGTAAGTATAAATATGTCTGTGAAGGTTCTCAGTCATCCAGGTCATCGTAGTCAAAGGAGCTTGCAAAGAAAAGCGTCTGGACTTCTTTAAGTTACTTGAAGACGTTTCACCTCTCATCCGAGAAGCTTCTTCAGTTCTAAGGTCAAATGGTGGAGAGTCCCAGATATAAACCTAGTGGGAGTTTCCCCCCACAGAGGGACAAAAGGACCCCCTGATGATCCTCTAATCGCCTGAGCCAAGGTGTGAAACTGGGTGTGGGTCCCAATCAGCCAGAGTTTCGGGTGAGTTCATTGTGAAACCTGGCCCCACCTTATCATGCGAATTCCTGAGATCAGATGGCCCAGGATGTGAGTGGGCGTTAAGGCGTCTGGGAAGGGATCTGGGATCTGGGTCTGGGAAGGGGTCATAAACCACCGAAAGATGGTTTACGACACCAACTCTCTGCCATCTATAATCCAGTTTTGAGAACGTCTTCAAGTAACTTAAAGAAGTCCAGACGCTTTTCTTTGCAAGCTCCTTTGGCTAAGTATAAATACAGAAATCAAATTTCTTAGAGGAGAAATTAGATTTCTGTATTTTCCACATGAAGTCTAAGCTCAGTTAGCTTATCTGGAAGTCCCACACATGAACCCAAACAAACACGAGAAAGACTCAATACTTCATGAGAAATGTGTAAAAACCACAAAAAAGAAAAAAAGAAGAAAAACAATCTTACTTGTGGGACATTAAAAAAAAAAACAGATCAGAGGAAGTAAAATAAAGTCGATTATAAACTTATTTTCAGCATTGAACACTATAATAATTTCATCAAAACATTTAAACACTATCACACAAAGACTTCTGTGTTTTTACACTGCGTTTAAGTGTCCAGGAGGAGAAGCCAAACTATACGTTCGACCGTGAGCACCACTGAGGTGACGAATCAGCCGTGTGACTGGCTACGGGGCAAACGTGGAAGCATTAGTTAAAAAGAAACTTAAGAAGGTGGTTTATATCTCTACTTGAGAAAAAAGTAAAAAGGTAAACAAGCACAGGGTGTTCCTTTCATCAAGGCTGATATCCTCTGTTAAAGGCCTGCTGGAGAAACATGGTGCTGTTAAAAGCTAAATCATCAGCCTCTGCTTCTGATAAAAAGTTCACCATTTCCTTCCTCCAAGAGCATGAGGTATTTCCCAGACTACTGTCCACTAACAGACCAAACAATGAGGCTGATGATTCATAAGGACATGTGGGTATAACCTTTCAGCCTTCTGGCCGTCTAAAACAAAAGACGGCAAATCTGTTCCCTGTTTTTTTGTTTTTTACTCTTAGTAAAGTAGGCAACTAAGTGATACATTCATTACATCGTATACTCTCAGAAAGCTGGGCATGTCTTTGTTTCTTATGTACAGCATACCAGGCTGCAAGAAATCCAAGGCAGTTAATACAGTTAATGGCAGCTGGACAGGGACAGTGCTCACAGGTCAACAGCAGACTGGCTCAGTAAGTCTTCCATATATATGAAGTAAAAACATTTAAGCTGTGACAGTGACACCATTGGGGCGGTGTGAAAAAGTATTTGCCCACTTAATGATTGTCACACTTACATATTTCAGGCCATCCAACAATTTTTTAGTTACATTTTAGTTACTTTTTTTACATAGGAAACAGTAGTTTTGGATAGATTTGTTTCCTTAATGAATGAAATCATTATTTAAAACCTGCATTTTATATTCACTTGTGTTACCTAATGCTAATATTTCCTTGATAAAACATTTAAGTGTGGCAATCGGGAAGGGGGCAAATGCTTTTTCGCAGCCCTGTAAGCGGTGCAAAGGTAGTAAGTCTGTTGGGATACATGCGTGGATGACGCTGTTCTGATTTGACTCAACATTCAGGCTCAGCTCACGACCAACCGCCTACTGTCTGCTGCCGATGGGGTTGCAGTTGTTGTTGTTTCATCTGTATCAGCAGCAGACGGGTCCAAAGAGCCTCACAGTATCTGACACATGGCGGTGCAATGCAAAGCTGTGACCCTGCACTAAAATGGACGTTTGTGTTAGGCTCGATTATGTAACCGACATGATTTCCAAAAAAGGAACCACTTCGGTGTGCAAACAAAGCATGTTGATAAGGGATCAAAATGCCATGGGAGCATTGCTGTGAATACAGAATCAACTTAATGCGTTGGTATATGTTGTGTGTCACTCCATAGGGATGATAAAGACATGCAGTCTTGTATTTCCCTGTGAGATTCATGGCATCAGATTTTAGCAGCACTAAATACAAAGTGCTGAAGCAGCAGCAGCTGCTTCTAGTTGCTCTTCTTCTTTGGGAGCACGAGGGGACGTCGGGCACTTATCACCAGTCTGGCTTGTTGATTTTGGGCTCTACCACAAGAGCAATTTTACAGTTGTCTTCTTCCACCGCCATGGCCTGAAAGTTGCACAGGGCCGTCTGAAAAGAGGAAGAAGAAGAAGTAGAAAAGAAAATGTGATAGTGTTTAAGAGAAAGCCAACTGTAGCCTGGCATTCAAAGAAAAACAACAACAACAACAACAAATGCAGTTCTAAGAATTTGCAGTACCTCGGTGATTATGAGAAGCATGCACTTACAAAGAAAAAGAAAAGGAGAAACGAGCACACAAGTACACCTAAGAGCAAAAACCTCACCTTATTGTTGTTGTCGCAGATATCACTGAGGAGATCCCGAGGCTCTGGTACTTTGGGAAAGATAGTATCCTTGTTTCTACACAGAGACAGTTAGATATCAGAGGTTAGCGCAGCCCCAAAAAAACAGAACAAAATAAAACCAAAACAAAGCCAACGAACAACAGGATCCATTCAGTAAGAAGAAGAGACTTTTTACTTACTTCTGGTAACACATCACAGTCAGGACTGTCAGGGTGGCAACCACCAATGGGACTGTAATCGCAAGAAACACTAATGGACTGAAGCCCGAGTCTGCTTCTGCATGCAAACACATATAAGCATTCATTTCAGCAACAATGAAACTGTTTCATGTTTCAGCCTTTGATGTTACTTTCCCCTTTCAGCTTTTTTTAATAGAGAAAATAACATGTCGGCTTCATTCATCCATTTACACCCAGGGATAAAACTATCTTCTGATTAGCAGATGACCTGCACTAGAGCCACCCCAGAGAAGAATGTATGGCCTTTATAATCTAAAAACAAATAATAAGTCAGTGCATTCTGTTTTTTATTAACACAAGATTAGAAAAAAGACACAAAACAGAAAATGACTTTACCAAAATACTGTTGGTCGGTCCACGGTGTTTCTCCTTTTTCTCCATACTTTGCTTTGATAGCCATGCTGTAGCTACAGTGAGGGACCCGGTCCAGCTCGTGTGATGTTTTTTCTTTTAGTATTATTGGACTCTGTGAAAAGTGTTTGAGGGAAACCATCGATTTGAGCCTTGAATCAGTTGATTAAAACTTCATCCTGAGAGAAACATCAGTGAGTTTGCAAAATTCAGCACGTAACCATAAAGGACAAATTTAAATATTTAATTTGGACTCATCTACTTGGGACCCTGTCGATTTCTGCCAAATATAATAACAACCGCCACTATAACTGATGAGGGTTTGTTTTTTTTTTAAATAAAAAGCTGCTTTAGCTGCTTGGAGAAAAGTCTGTAATTTTCTCCTTATTTTCTCTTCTTATTTTCTCTGGATATGATGGCTACCATTATTCCCAAACCAAGAGCTATCATGCTAGCATGGCTTAAGGTTGTATTTAAGCTAAGTCCTGTTCCAGAGGGAGCCCTGGAAGCTGATCCTTAGCCACTTCCTCCTCCCCCTCTGGGATTCCAAGACTTTCCCAGTTAAAAAAAAAAAAAAAAGGTTATATAATCTGTCCACTGAAATATGAGTTAGCCTCTAACAGACGTCTTTTAACACAAAGGACCCCATGTCTTATATGAGCTCCCACACAATGTTTTGAACTCCTTACCGTGTCCTCCAACTTCACTCTAATGCTGGAACTCATTCTCTAAGTCAGGGGTGTCAAACTCAAATACACAGTGGGCAAAAATTCAAAACTGGAACAAAGTCGCGGGCTAACGTTAGTATTTTTTGAAATATATTTATTCCTCCAGATATAAGAATGAATCTTTTCTTATGTGCTCAAACACGTTTTGCTGAAAAACTGAATATGGAACAAGCAAAGCTTAATACTAAACAATATATATATTAGCTGTATAATACCAGTAGGCCAGCTCTAATAGTAATTTGGTATGGCTTCGCGGGCCAAATGTAATTAGGCTGTGGGCCAAATTTGGCCCGCGGGCCAGAGTTTGACACCTATGCTCTAAGTGCTTTCAGTTATTCGTTTTTTAACACAATCGTAACACACATTACTTTAAACTAATGGACGTGACAGACAAAGTAAGATAGTATTGTTGTTATTCTTACTTTTAGTTGACCACACTTAGTGTAATTTATTATATATTCCCACTCGTCCTGTGCAATCACTTCAGGAGGGTACCAAGTAATATTAAATTGATTCCCACTTTTCTCGACTTTCCAGTTAAGGGGCGGTGGTCTCACTGCACAGAGAATAACAGACAGATGTTGCAGTTAGTACAAGCTAGCCAGAGGTGCCTTAAATGCAAATCATAATGCAAAACAGTGTGTATTTTGCCTTTCGAAAAGTTGGTAGTTCTAGATTGTGTCATAAAATACACAGTGCTAGATACACACAGATGCGTGCCACCCCCCCCCCCCACACACACACACACACACCATGATAACAGCTAAAATATTTCCAAGAAAGGAGAGAAAGAACAAATTATACCCCAGAAACTGAATGAGGAAGCACAAAATATTTCAACACAAGTTTCCTCTCGCATTACTTTTAAATTCTGAATTAGCACTGACCACTACACAGCTTACCAAAGCGAATGAGGCGTTTAAGGAAGGTGTTCCTGACAGTTTTGTTGTTCAGTGTTGTGTTAAACAAGACGCTTATAATATGTTGTGTGCTCACTGGCAGATAACAGCCAGTCCTCAGATCATCAGTGTAAGTATACGATGGGCATTCTTCTATTCCACTGACGATTTCATCCCACTCATCCTCAGACCTTGGAAACATAAAGAAAAAGGTGATTTACTTTTCTACCAACACACGGTATATTCCAAAAGGAAAGGACAAAACAATGAACTAATAATAAGACACTGGCATGCTTTTGCCTCTCGGTGCTGGTGAATAGAATAAGCAGGGGAAATGTGTTTCTTGCTAATGTGCAACAACAGCATCACATAGACTGTGGGACTCAGCCACCGAATAAAATAATAAAATTTGAAGTATTTCTTTAATCTCGTGACATTTTGTTGGATATTTTAAATGCAAAATGTAATAACTGTGTTTAACAAAGAAGCCACCCGGTGGGAAACAGCCAGTTATCAATACCATGTACAATATTTGTACCTACAGTACAAGTTTGGACACAATTGTGACGCATGAATGTGTTGAAACCTAGAGTGTCAACGCATTCATTAGAACTACAGCCTTTTGCTACGTGGACTAGCGATGCTGCAGTTTTATGCAATGTTTTGTAAAGTTTTGTGATGCAAAAAACAAAAACATTTTAATTTAAGATACTAATTTAACATCTATGAAACTGTATAATTAAACAGTTTCTTTTACTTCCTTATTTGTGCTCTCACTGGGAAACAAAGAAGACAAAAGTTCATAGGAAAATGGGTCTTTGTTGCAGCCTAACAAAACAGGAGTGACTTCTGGATTCAGTCTCGTCTTGGTAACAATATTGTGCAAATACCATGATGTTCACATAATAATGTCATTGTCACCTTCGTTATCTGAGACACTTTAAAAAGTATGTTGACAATGAACTTCTCGACGATGTCGACGGGTGAGGCAATAGAGGCGCTATTGTGAAAGTTAGCCTTTGTGCTTTGGATACAAGAGTGCAGTCATAACACATTTGAAGCAACAACTTAAACACACAATTCTCACATCTTTGAGTAATTTCAACAGCATCCTGACAAAATCAGTGGACAGTGAGGAATAACACTCTCCAAGTGAATGCCAATATGTACATACAACCTTCCCAGAGGTCATCTCAATCAACGAGTCAGAGGGGTATACTGCAAGTAAAAGTTTGAACCTAAAACCCCTGCTGGAGATCAAAGTTATCACTGTTAAGCAGAGCTTTCTGCTTCAGCTTCTGAGCGTGCTCATATAAAAAGCAGCATTTCACAGGTCATAAGACTCTTCTTCCACAAAAAATGATCCCCGTGAGCGCCCCCTACCCATTCCCTTATAATGATATGAGGATATAATGATTATAATTCCTTATAATGCTAGTGTAACGGGGGAAATTCACATTTAGATTTAGGTCTGTAGAACTTTACTGTTGGATTTAGTTTGACCTTCTTAGATGAAGGATGTGTGTGTGTCAATATGACCTGGTGAAAACTTCTTAGATATGCTTAACGATGTTTCACCAAGTTAACCTCTAATTGTTAGGGAAACTCACAAGAAGACCAGTGCCAGGTGCTGCCTGGAAAATAGATAGTGGGAAAGTCTTCCCTGGCCAGCAACAGCCCGGGTGGGACAAAAGACTGTTGTAACTGAAAAGATACAAAGAGTGTGTGTGATGTTATCAAAGGGACGCTGGGAAATCCCAAGGTTAGCGCTCTCGTGACTGTAGAACTGTGATGTTTGATGTGTGTTAGCTTTCCTGCATCCAGCAATTACATTAGCTTGACCACAGCTGACTGTGTTGCAGACTTTAATAACAGAAATTTCACCCACACTAGGCACAGTTTGCTCTTCACTCAGTGGTTTTAGTATTCATGCCTAACAACCTGCACATATAAAACACCATTATATATATATAGTAGAGAATTTATAATACACTTGAAATGATGTAAATAAAAGACTCAGTGAAAATGTGGTGCTTATAGCCGATTTACAAAGAAATGCTCTGCTCCTGAACTTGTTACGTGTTCGCTACAAGTTAGCGTAGTGATTTAGCCAGTTAAAAACAGAGCCACTTTCGTAATACAGAAACCTCTCACTTTACGCTCGACAGCTCGCGAGACATTTATCTAAGTTAGTTGACTCCGCAGGGTGTGGTAGGTTATTTACAGCAGAAATACCTCATTTAAGTGTTAGGGTCATGGATAACAGTGGAGCTCTGTGGCCCAGACGGATTAAACATATACCTCTCCAATATTATCTTTGATGCACTGGCTACCTGGCATGGTGTGGATGAAAATTTAAAATACCTTCTTCTAATGCAGGTGCCCTTTAAATAATCACCAAGCTGCACATTAAATGTACCATTTTACCCCAAAAGAGCACTTCTGTGTCAGAGCACAGACCTGCCTCCAGGTTCCTCCCCTGGGACAGCCCTAGGTAAGAGCAGGGGTGAATAATTCTGGTTTTGTTCAGCCAATGCAAAAACTGAGTTAATGTGTAACTGAGTCCTGCTGCTCATTCTAATAAGAAATGTTCTTATGCTCTCTCATGACACATCTCCCCTCCCCTTTGGTGAGGCTCATACATTTAATATAAAGTCATGTTGCTGTTGATGTGACAAAGAGAGTGAGAGTGGGAAGCTGCCACTTCCTTTATATGTGTGTTAAATTATTATTTATGATAATTCTGTGTGCCCTTTAAAACAAAAGAGGGCAATAGGACTACACCGAACGAGCAGCAGAGTTTCTCTTTGTACAATTCAGCAGGTCTTGGGTTTCCTATGTAAACTGGTAACATATCTTATGCTCTGGATTGGCAATATAAAAGTTAAATAAATAAAAATGCGTTTGGATACATGATCCCCACTTGTGTCCAAGATCACTTCATTTTTATGGATTGTCATGCAGAAAACCGCTGTGTTGCTTTAGTTCATTTCAGTATTTGCTTTTGGGTTTCTTTGTTTTTTCTTTTTTTCTTTTTCTTTTTACTTGCAACATATTTGTTTCAAGTTTGTGAAGACGTTTACTTAATTTGCTTAGGTTTTGCCTATTTAAATACATGACCTTAAACGGCAGTCCATTGGGATATCAGGGCTCCGGCGTGTTACAGTTGGCTTGAGTTAACACTTAACCCTCTTCATTTAATGTTACATTGCCAAATATGGTTTGGTTTTGTATGCATAAATCCCCACACCCCCAACAAACAGCCTGCAGCTGGCAAAAAAGACAGACAGAGCCATTAAACACAAGAATTTAGCCCTGATTGAACTCTGGCTCATTACTTCCACTTCTGCTCAGAGTGACCACTGACTATCAGGAAGTGTTGCAAAATTACAAAACTACCTGTACTGCGTAATGCTGAATTTCTATTTCTTTAAACTGCATAATAAAAAAGCACATACTTGTAGAAGAAACGGAGATCTGCGGCGATACCGGTTGGTGACCATGAGCAGTTTGTTTGGTTTGGGGAGTGGACGTAGCACTGAAAATCTGTCACCAGCTCTGAGAGCGACACAGACACAGACACAGATTAATAATCAAACACATAGACAGCAATTTGCTTCATATGTGGCTCAAAAGCATTTTTTTACAACAAAGCAGAGTCAGTGGTGAGAATTACCTGGATTAGTTTCACTGACGACCACTGGCTCGCTTGATGACTTATTCCAAAAACTTCTGATAGACACATTTAAGACGTTTCCATTCATTAACCCCTTCAAAACTAAGGAAGTGCCCTGCTATTAAGAGAAAAAGAGAAGAAAAAAACTAATTTGAGTAAACAGTCTAAACCAATCCCAGATCTTTTGTTTGAAGAACTGGCTAACCAACCAGACATAGTTGTGGTGTACATGCAGAACAAAAGGGTTGTGGTAATAGATGTAGCAATACCGAGAGAGAAACATCAGGAAGAAGGAACACAAGAAGCCCGAGAAACACCAAAGGCTGAGAGAAGATGTGGAGGGTGAAGACAACAGTGGTCCGGTTACCACGCGAGATCTAGAAAGCCCAGGACTCAGTGCCACACATACACACAGCTATAGCTGTCATGGCTTAAAACATGTGAGGTCCACAAGAGTGCAGCTGGAGAAACGGTACGCTGCAACACAACACAGTCTTCCCCTCAAAACTTAAAATAGCGGTTGTCTATACAAAATCTAGAAATTACTCAAACCTACTTTTCATATCTGAAAATGTTTTTCAGCAGTATGCAAATAATGAGCCTCTACTTCCAGGAGGTGGTTGAGATTACTTGCAGTCTCTTAGCAGCGGTCTTTCCGGGAATTATTGGTTATTAACTGATGAAAGACTTTTAAATTATGGGGTATAAACGTTGTGTAATCACAATGAATATACGAGGTTTTAAAGTAAGCATATACACATATAAGCGTACTTACAGTGGATTCATATTTTTGTCCGTTTGTATTTGTAGACACTTTATACTGGTAATCGACAGAATTCTCTGGTGGTACCCAGGTCACGTTATGATCAAAGTCGTTAATCCTCCGCAGGGACACATTTCGTGGAGGTAAGATTTCGCCTTAGTGAAGAAGGAGAAAGAACAGAAAATGAGTCAACATCTGCAGGATCAGCGAATAAAGACGATTTATGTGGCTCGCCAAGCAAGCTGTTGCGCTGAGCCAGTCACTCAGGAGGGAAAAAAATCTTTCCCTCAAGGCACAGCTGTTACGCACACTTCTGCACTGCTGAACAGTCTATTTACCAGATCTGATCCTGCTTTCGGATTTCTACGTGGATAATTTAAAAAAGTCAGATTCCTCCTGTTTCTGTCACGTAAACAGAATCCGGATTGGAATACTAACATGGGGGTGCGCTGAGAGGATTTACACGCGCGATTTACACGAAACACATTCTCCCACAAAGTTTTCTCTTTTTCCAGAGTCCGTTTTACTGTTCCGCTACACAGTGGCGAATGCCAGACGTGACGTCACTAGTGGGAATCACCGCAAATGACCCGAGCGAGAAAACTGGGAAAAGGTGTCAAAGAAACAGGCAATAACAAAAACCCAGGTAAATGTGTTGTAAGCGTGGACGTGTAGATCGTCTTACCGTGACTGGACTCGATCGTCAGAGACAGGCAGCACAGAACTAACAAACTTGGGAACATCCTGCTGATCCCGTGTGTTCAGCTCTCCCCCTGAAAACTTTCTATCTCCTGAGTTTCTGTTGTGAGGAGAGCGGGGGAAGCGCTCTTGAAACGGGGTCCCCTGCTTCTCAGACTCTGTGTGGTCACAGCTGTTCAGAAGGCAAAAGCAGAGAGACGTCTGCCATGTCTCTGATCTACTTTCGCTTCCAGCTTCTTGGGAGGAAGGCACAGAAAAATAGTGGGAGGCTGGAAGTGGGTGGTACGCTTCCTCCTTCTGATGTAGACACGCTGACGCACGCACTGACATGTTGTGCTTTCTTCCTTTTTTTAGGAGTCATATTTTTCAGTACACATATTCTATTTTTTATGTAAAACAAATAACCTATGATAAACCTTCGCACAACTACTAAGACACATTTGTAAGTTTCAGAACTCTAACCAAACAAAATCTAACAAACAGGGGCGTAAAGACAAAAAAACAAACAAACATTGGCTGCTGCTGGTCCCCCAACAGCCGGTAGAATGTGCTGTGTGGAGTGAGAACGTGTTAAGACCTGCAGGTAGTCTGTAAGTATGTGAAAACGTTTAAAGGCTTGGACAAAGATTCACGTTTTATTGTCATGTACAGATAAAAAGTATAGCCACATTTATCCATAATGAAATTCTTTGGCTTGTGCTCCTCAGCTTTACATGAGCATATAGAGAGTGTGCAGAAAAGGAGAGAAAAAAAGTATTAAATATTAGAGAGTTGAGACGAGTTGGTATTTACAAGTTTGTGCAAGAGTATTTACAGGTTGTGCAAAGTTGTGCAACAAGCATTTAAGTGGCATTTGTTGAAGTGATAGTGTGCAGACTCCTGTAATTGTAGTGAGTGTGTAGTGGTGTGTATGGAATGTCAGCAGTTCAAAAGCCTGATGGCTTGTGAGTAAAAACTGTCTCTGTGTCTGCTAGTGTGGGTCTGGATGCTCCTGAGCCGCCTGCCGGACGGCATGAGTGTGAAAAGTCTGTGGCTGGGATCCGCTGCGTCTTACTTATGCAGCGCTGTCCTGCATGGCTGGCAGTTCAGTCCTGTTGATGCGCTGTGCTGATCTCACCACCCTCTGCAGAGCTTTGCGGTCCAGAGCATTACAGCTGCTGTACCAAGTGCTGATGAAACCAGTCAGAATACTTTAAATGGTGCATCGATAGAAGTTTGTAAGTATTCTGGGGTTCATTCTGAATCTTCTGAAGAAGAGCCGCTGTCTTGCTGCTTTTATGATCACGCCAACATGGTGTGACCAGCTCAGATCCTCGCCGATGTTGATGCCCAGGAATCTGAAGCAGCTGACTCTCTCCACCTCTGGATGGGGGTGTGGCCTCCTCTCTGCAGTCTCCTGTAATCCACGATGAGCTCCTTGGTTTTGCTGACGTTAAGCAGCAGGTTGTTGTCGCCGCACCATGATGTCAGGACATCTGCCAGCTGGTGGGCACATGCTTTGAAAACTCGACCTGGAATGTTGTCTGGTCCAGGAGCTTTCAGAGTGTTTACTTTCCTGAAGTATTTACACGCGACTGCCTGAGATATCTGAAGAGGGCAGCACAAAGGTCACAATACACCAACACAGTGTAACCATGTGCTTACATCAGGCTCTGCATCTCTGCACCAGTTGTAGACTAACATGGTCTTCTTGCAGCCAAGCAGGCGTAGACAGCTAACAACACTAGGTTTGCACAAGTCATTCACAAGCATCACTCCAACAGGATTAAAACTTTATTTTTTAAAAACAATATTTTACTGTAAAGTTGATGTTCAGTCATTTAAGAAGACAACATGATCAGATTTCTTGTTATGCTATTCTATCCAAGTTTATCAGGGACATTTTACCTTTTTAATGCTGCAATGTCTGAAATGTTGTGTCATTGCGTTTTTAGCTTGTGATGCCTTGTAGGACCTGGTGTCCTGAGTGTGATCACGTATTTATGAGCAAAAGGCACACGGGAACAACAGCTGTTGTTGCTTTCTACACATGCTATTGTTTTTGTAACCTTGAGATGTTTCAGCGTGTCGCAACATTAAGAGACATTTTTTTGTTTTGCAAAGCTACCATCTGTGACCATTACACCGTGGTGCATGCAAATAATATTTTAATGATGTCTTGTGAAACTTGTACCTTCATATTTCATGTTTTTTACATGTTAGCGGTGCATGCCGTGGCTGTAGACCCAATTTAATTGTTTATACATTAGTTAAAAAAATAGAAAAATAACACCTCTCATGTCATTCTTGGCTGGTGTAGTCAAAGAAACGGGGCAGTGAGAGAGTCACACATGGCCGTTTTATATTTAATTTTGACTGCAGGTGGGAAGCAAGGTCACGTCATGTATGAGCATATTTACAGTAGTTTCCTCGCTGCCTGCCTCACTAGTTTTCGTAGATATCTGCAGTTTCTGAGTAAATGCCGCTGTGGAGCCAAATTCCCAAAAAAATGTTGAGACTCTGTTTAACAGTACAGATGTAAATGGGAACCTCGGGAATCTTTTCTTCGGAGGAACTCTGCCTCTTTGAAAATCCAGCTGAAAACAGCTGGTGGAATAAATGCGCTGCATCCAGTAACACTTGCTTTTCTAGTCTTTTGTTCCTATTTATTTATTTTTTGCTTTTTTGGGATGCGTTGCTGCCAACAAATTCAAACTGAGTTCATATTTTTCTTTTCATGAAATAGTAAAGCGTCTCAGTTCACTCATCTGATGTTTTCTTTGTGCTATTGTGAATAAAACATGTTTGAGATTTCCGCTTTTCTGCCCATCAGTCTTATTCCTTTGTCCTCTCAAAAACTGAAAGCACAAACACGCACGTCGGTGATAGCACACAGGTTAAATGTTTGACACCCACATAAAAGTATTTACTTATATGTCCATTATCTTCATGCTACGTGTGGTTGGTTTATGTTGACCAATGAAATACGTTGCTGAGAGAGAGGAGGGTGAGGAGAGCAATTGAGGATGTGCAAATGAGGAAGGTCAAAAGACTTCTTCAATAATCTGAGGGGTAGGGTCAAGATTTGGAACAAATACCATGAAAGCGTGGATCCATCTTGGTTTGTATGGGTATTTCAGGGTTCTGGTGGTGGTGTTATGGTTTGGGGATCATTTTGGGGACTTTGGGCTTTTTTTTTTAGCCAAATGTTGATTTAGCTGCCACAGCCTCCTTGAGAATTGTTGCAGGCCATGTCCATCCCTTCAAGACCACAGTATTCCCATCTTCTTCCAGCAGGATAACACGCCATGTCACAAAGCCCAACTGGTCTAAAACATCGTAAACTTAAACTTGAACATAACGATGAGTCAAATGACCATCACGGTCAGCAGATCACTGTCTAATAGAGCATCTTTGGGATGTGGCTAAACAGGAAAGTCACATCATGGATGTGCGGCCAACAAATTTGCTGCAGATTTGATGTTGTTGTGTCAATATGGACCAGAATCTCTGATGAATGTTTCCAGCATCTTGTATCTATGCAATGAAGAACTGATGCAGTTCTGATGGCAAAAAGAGGTTCAACCCACTATTAGCTATGTGTAAGTAATGAAGTAACTGATGTCCGACCCTGTTCTCCAGGCAGAGAAAGAGCATGGACAGCCACTCATACCTTCAAGCAAAGACTTATAAAAATGGACTGTCGTCTGTGGCACAATACATGGTTTAGTGGGGTAAAAAAGTTCTTTGTCATTGTCACCTCAGTGTTTTGAAATCAGCTGAGCAGGGCTGGATCTGACAGATAAACAGACACTGTGTGCTCATACAGTATTCACATGCCCAGCCTAAAACCTTTATACACTTGTTTTTGCAGCAACTCCCCCTGCTGGCCAGTAGAACAAAGTGCAGGTTTACAACTCCATTGCAATGGCCTCACTTTTTAAAGATTTCACGCAAATGCGTCAGTTTATTTAAAGCCTATTTTTGTTTGCTATGACTTCACAGCAGCCAAAAAGGGAAAAATAGGTTGATCATTAAAAAAATGATAAAAAAAAACCCAAACTCAGTGTCTGAAGCCTCATATAAGCTTTAGAAAGAGCGTTATTGTTCTGCCCTTCTTCACTTACATCATGAGATCCTGTTTCAGTGCTCATACAGGAACCTGACTATTGTTTTAAGAATGAGCTGAAAAACTGAGCTTCTGTACTTATCCTCGGGGAGTATCTCCCCCTGCAACCTCCAGTTTAATCTACAATGGGTAGGTTTTTTTTGTTTCCGTCTTTCAGGAACAAAAACATGTTAATGATTCAGGTTAATACCTGCTCACTGAAAATACACACATCCAGATGCTGAGACAAGCTGCTCATTTCTGTTTGAGCAACTATTACAAGAAAGGCTGAGCGGGTTCCACATTATCACATCCAAAACACAGATCAACACACATGTTTCCCTCCCCCAAACAAATCCATGTTTTTAATCTCTCTCAAAAAGTCTCTAAAGCTCAAAAGTTGTGTTGGAAGCCCCCATTTCCCCTGGAGCTACTTTGGACTTCACCTTCCTTCCTTCCTTTTCAAGGAAGAGCATTTCCCTCTCAAGGTGATATTTCCATTTGGTTGTGTTAAATGCCAAGTCAAAATAGCGCTGCACGGAGTTGACAGTGTGACGTCGAAGTTTGTAATTATTTTATTATATGTTCAGATGTTTACAGTTCTTGGAGTACTTACATCACTTCTCTCTTTACAAAGTTTGAAAGTTTTGTACAAAGACAGAAAACTCTTAATGCCACACATCAAAGATCTTTTATACAGCTTAACTTTAGTAAGAAAATGCCATCCAAAACATGTCTGCCAGCAGAGTTCATGCAAGTGAATATTTAGACGGACAAGGTGAAAGTTCTTTTCACATGCACCAACAATGGTAAAACAGAGAAGTATACGTAGGCTGTCGCAGTCACCCAGCACTAAAGCCCAGCAGTGTGCTCTCATCCCGACGTGTTTTCCACAGTTTGGGGCTTTTTTTGCTACCAAAACCTTGCATCCTAGTTAATTCCTGCACAGGTGACTCCGGATGGCAGTCAAATTTTCATTTGTACAAATAAGGTTCATGTTGTGACAAGATTACACTTGTTTTTCTTTCCATTTTATGAGTTACAGCAGATATCCAGGGAAAAGTCAGCTCTTGTTACCACTAGAACATCTTCCAGATTAATCAGCCTCCTCTGGTCTTCTCTTTCCAACGGGAATGCAAAGCCTCCCCTTATCTTCCTCTGCCTCAGCATG